AATGTTATATTGAATATTAATATCAATATATAGAGCGAGAGAGAGAGAGAGAGAGAGAGAGAGAGAGAGAGAGAGAGAGAGAGAGAGAGAGAGAGAGAGAGAGAGAGAGAGAGACAGAGACAGAGACAGAGACAGAGAGACAGACAGAGACAGAGAGACAGAGAGAGACAGAGAGAGAGAGAGAACATGACATGGGTAAAATTAGACGAGGAACGAAAAAGTTACATATTTCGTGAAAACAAAAATCACGATGATTGATCAGCTGCCTGGATCTATTGAAGAGGGTAGATAGATTCAATAGAATATACCTTGGGGACTACCCGATAATCGTTATACAAAACAGACTATTATTAACGTCGACTGTAACGCGGCAGGACTAAGAAAACGGCGCTACAATATACTATAATAGACGATCGTGTTCTATACTGCTTACGGCAACAATTTTGGATTATTTAATTCGCGTCAGGCAGAAAGGTCAATAATTATGTTGAATGAACAGAACATGATAAAATACGCCTCGTAATTCGAAATTAAATAAGTCTTTGGTACTCAGTTGATTGAATAAGTTGCACGGTTAAACAAAATTTCATCTTTATTTGTGTCGATAACCGGTAGCAACTTTCTTTATTTATTTTTCAACATACATCACATCACCGGGTTAATGCGAGTATGTCGAATAGCTGTGCTACATGAACCATGTATTCATCTCGTAGAAGTAATGTTTTATTTTGGTCCCAGACGTCTGCGATGAAATACTAACAACAGCAAATCTGTTGTCACATTTATTGGCCATCGCAAGGTGATGTAATGTTTGCAAAACGGCATGCAAACGGCCTGAAGTGAACTCACTGTAGTCAGATTATCCAGCGCAATTATAAATCAATTGTTCAATTAATTAATTATTCAATTAATTGAATTTATATCAATTAACTATATTGGATTGATGACCAATTGAATGTAGTTGTTTGAATTTGTCATTGGCACATTCCTTTCTTCCGTCACGTTCAAACAATTTTGTTTGATTCCATTGAAGGTAGAAACAACAAATCATTGCACGCAAACAATCGCTCAGACACATGTAAACATGGGATGATATTTTGAGTCTTACTTAATTATGACAACGCGTCAAAAACAGTGTATTATAGGTTGTCTAAAGCATACATGAACATATGCCTTCGGGTAGTATGGAAGCAGTATTGATTTGCATCGATCTCGGCCATGTGTCACTCGATGATCACGGCACTGCCATTGATCATATTGTTTTTATACTCGTAATAGTATGTCTATACATATATTTAAAAGAGCAGTACACTGAGAATCATAACAGATAGCAAATGGTAATTATTCCAAGGTTTCGGGTCTTTTATACAAAATAACAGAAGCAAACTCATGATTTCATCTCAGTTTCCAATTGAGTTGAATAGTAGGGAATGATTTATTGTCATCCTGCCCTTAAATCCCGTATATTATTGGTGTTTCAAGGTCATTGAAAGGAAAGGTAGTACGTAATAGCAGTTTTAAGGTATCTCTGTTCAATATGTCTTTATAACTGCAATGATATTTGTGTTTATAGAAACGTCATTGGTTACCACATTCGGAACAACGTAATGTACAGTACTTAAAGCGTTAATTCATGCATATGCACTTTTTAGACCATAAATTATCATAGTTATTTGCATAAAAAGTTAATGCCAATATTACTCAAATAAGGAACACTGTCGAATAGAGATTGAAGGATCTCCATTTCACTGGTCTTCCAAAGTAACATAGTCGTCATGACACGAGTCACGCCAAATGTACACAACGCGTGTATAATAACATGTTCCTTTAAAAAGATAATCGAGCACGCGCTGCACGGCGATCATGACGCTTTAATTGACCTTAGCGTAAACCCACCCTGTAGGAATTTGTTTTCAAATTTATCACGTGGGTAATACAAATCAACACTTAAGACTTAATTAACTTTATATCAGGTGCGCTTTAAAGGGTGTTTTAGACTGGTATTATAAGTAAGTGGAAATGTCTCATGGGGCAATACTATTGCCAAGCATTGGCAGATAAACTTGAAAATGCGACTTTGTGAAGTACGATGAATTCAAATAAGTGTGAATACATGTGAATTAGAGAAGACTGCTCAATTTTGAATGCGACGTGTATACAAATTATGATTCATCCGTGCTACAAGCTGAATAATTTTTGTTTTGCATCTACTGTGTCTCCAGATGCTTATATTCTGGAACTCACAGCTCACAGAAAATTAGTGTATACAGATAGCTGTACCTGTATGCCGTTGATCTGACAACAGAACAACCAATCTATCGGCGAGTGACGACATTATTTGCTGCATTAGGAACTATCCAGTATACTACACATAGTGTGTAATAAGGAATATAATAACAAGCTATGTTACAACGACCTGGCGCTAGCACATATGAGTGAATCACTAGATTTTGACCACAGAGATACAAAACAATTAACATTAAAACAACGTGAGAATGTAGGACATAACATTCTGCAATCATTTGCCAATTTTAATAAACCTGTTGGGGTAGAAGAAAATGCAGCCTTGAAAGACAATTTCATCAGGTGCGAAAGCTCCAGTATCTATAATTGCAGAGGATATTCTAACTGCTTAAGTTACTGAAAGAAATACGGCTGAGTCAACATCGGTGAATGACATCACAATCAGATACAGATATTGGTGTGTTCCTTCTTCTACTGTTTTCATGGCACGGACATTTAACAGAGTTTGACACAGGAATTGACAAACGATCAAATGTACGATTATCAATATCCACACTCTCATTGGAAAACATTGTGTGCAGTTTTGTAATCTTCTTCTTGGTTTAAAAGCCTTTACAAGCTGCGACACGACGAGTGACTTTGTTAAGGACAAATAAAACCACACAAAATTATAGAGAGCCATAGTGGGTGGAGTCTGAGAAGTTAGGAAGCATGCAAAATAAATTAGAACAATTGTACGGGAAACAACCATACTCACAGATATAAAACATAAACACATTAAGATATGCCTGAGCCAAACAAAATCGTGACATACATGTACAGTTAATGTTTATATTCAAATTCTCATATTGAAAAGTTACCCTAATCATATATCCATAGCCTGAAAGTATTGGGAATTAGAAACTCATGCCTTGAATCATGACTGCTGTGATGATTGATTTTGTTTTCAATACAAATAGCGTTGATGTAGTAAACCTTTACATTGGTTATTGTAACATAGAATTGTGCGTAGTAACTATATACATATTACATGCAAATTGAGTTTGCTAATTTAATTCTGTTGAACGAAATATCCTAGAAGACATGGGGGCATTGTGCTTTTGATAACCCGATTATACATGAAAGTAATAGATATATACATTCATTATACAAGAAATTGTATTTGTTCATTGTTAAATATTAGAAGCACTAGAATAAATAGTGACATAATTGTGTACCTTTGTTTTGATGCCAAAAAGTCCATATGTTGCAGTATTATAGTCAACTGCTAGCTATAGTTTAAAATTGACAAGCAAATTCATTTCAATTCTTTGCAGTCACAGAGGGGGCATATTGCCAGTCAGTGTCTTTTAAGATGCAACTCGAAAACACGCACAAACAATGAGACGTTACACAGATCTTAATAGAACTTTATAAATTGTTAGTCGCATTCGTTCAAAACAACAATATGTAAAACTACCAGCATTAACAACGGGTATAACCTTTGCTTAGTCAAATATTTTTTTTAAATAAAATACCTAAAAAAACACATTGAAACAAGTTGCATTAATACTTTGCAAATATTCAAAGTTGTTTTCCGTAGATAAACGTTCCTACAATATATTTTGCCTTCAAATACAAATTAACAAATCTAACATAGTTACGCGGCCAGGTTATATGAATATTATGCAATTATTTGTCCACCATTACAACATTTTGTGGTGTGATATAACTGTACCTTATGTATTTGCAAATTTGGAATAGAACTTAAACTAATCGGTTAACATATTTCATACAAAAATATTTAATACAACTAATCAAATAAATGAATGTAATATGATAAAATAATTTGAATAGTATTACTTCATTATAGATTTTTAAAAATATATATTTTGAAATGTAATGACAATAAGTTTTATCCTTTGTTCTGATAACAAAACACTTTCATCCGTGTAAACAGCCTTTATCAGGCCCGGGTAAATTATATCCTCATTTATTATCGTTCAAAAATTCAACTAAAATGTATTCAAAATATTCACGTAAATATAAATATTAAATAAGTCACATTCATGCAGAATACAGGCCACCAAAAGGAGAATGCACAGACTTATGAAAATGTAGAAATGGGTAAACATGTTTGACTGGAGTATGGCCAGATAACTTGCAATTTATCACCAACGTTTAACGTGCACCCAATGATATAACCACCAATAACTATATGAAATAGTAATGAAATTTACAAAATACAAAACAAAAAACGTCTGGATATTATGTATTAAATTAATTAGCCAGTAAATTGTACGAGGGTGCTAGACAAAGAGGTGGTGCAACGATTATTAGTCACTTGTCAGAATCTAACTCGACAATTCTTTGTCAGGAGCCATTTCACACGCCAATAATTATTTCAATTTGAATTTTGATCAGTCCATTCACAATGCGGACAATAAATTGTTGCTCGAAAGGTGTTAAATCAACATCCGGTGGATAAAGGAGACCAAATAAATGAACATAGTTGAAATAACGTGTAGTTTTAGGCTATGAACTGTTATTATCGTATGTATTGAACATTACACAAATTTCATTTACAAAATGGTTTTTGGACGAAGAATCACAGATCGGCTCTGTAATTTGGAGAAACATTCCAAGATAAAGACAAAAATGTCAAACTCCTACTTGCGATGACTGTTCCTTGCGTTGAACACGTGATCATCGTTCTTTCAAAACGGGGAAAAACGTGCGACAACGTGACAAATGTATCCACTCCGCCACGGGAATTTTCACTCGTGACACAAAATGCGCTTCACCAATGCAACCGAGTCTCGTCGGAAGCTGCTATTCATAAAACCGTAGACAAGAGGGTTAACGGCATTATTTATGACATACAAATATTTCAAAAAAGTGTAAATGTCCCTTTCTTTCTGGGGGAGTCCAGTCCAAAACGTAGCAGGCAGAAATAGAAATGTCCAGTATGGAAACCAAGTCAGTACAAAAATTAGTGTAACCATCATCAACATGTGGGCAGTCTTGTTCCTCTTTGAAATAAATTTTGTCTCTACTTCATGCGGAACAGATGTGTTTCTTTGATGGCAAACATCAATGGAATTAATTCTGTTACTCCGGTGACAACAACCAAAGCAGCTATTCTGGGAAGAAGTTTCAGGTTTTTCGTGGAGTTCGATGTCTCCAATATGATTGCCTCTCAAATTACAGTGGGCGTTGTTTGGGTGGGTATACCTGGCTATTGGAGACACCCGGCCTCTCCAGTCAAGGATTTCTTCAGATGTATCCCCACTACCCACAACAAATCGACGTTGTTGCTTTATTTCACGCTGAGCATCTGCCTTTCTTGATATAGTGGACACGTTTACCGTGTTTTGCCTTGCCCTCCTGCATAGCGCGATGGAAACGTTTACATAGGCAACACCAGCAATCAATATCACGTTTGCAAAAAATACAAATGTGGCAATATTCACCCCTTCATAACGGTTTTGGTCAATGGGTTTGCACTCCTTGGTGATAACATCCGTGCCATTTATAGATGCGTTGTCAACCCCGAAATATAAAACTACCGGTGAAGACACAGCACTACCTATAATTATGACAACAATGATAATAATTCTCGCGTGAAATGGAGTTATCTGACAGAAGAAAGGTCTACACACAGACAGGTAGCGATCTACCGCAATGACGGCCGTGATCATCGCCGATGACGCGACGCCGATATGCCACAACCAGGAAAACATCTTACACAGCTCTGTTGTGAGAATAACTGGGTAAAGAACAGCAATAATTCCATACGGCATGATGACAGAGCAGACAAATAAATCGATGACACCAAGTCCTAAGATAAAAACATGGGACGATCTTTTGACTGGCTTTCTTGCATACACTGCTACAACAATGCTGTTACCAACCAACCCGCTGACACACACGACAACGTACAGTACTCCCAGGGCGTGCATGTCTAAACGATTTAATATATTTCCGGGATGGGCAGCAAAAATGTGAATGCCGAATATAGTTGAGCTCACCATATGGCTACGCTTTCTAAAAAATGAAAATAAAAGTCAATAAGCGTTCAGATTTTCAGATATGTAAATCAGGTAAGGTTCAGGTAAAGCCAGATCTCAGGCGACCAATCATGACACACAAATGAAAATTAAATCATAAATACGGTTTAACCAATGAACCTGGAGCTCTAAACATCATATGTTTTACATGTTTTAAAATGATGTACCTCACACGTATAGGGTCCATTCGCTATTGAAACATAATGACTATTTAAAACTAACAACTATCTTGAAGAAGTATTTATGTTTTGTCTAACAAATTTTATGTATCTAACAGGTTCTCAGATCAAATATGAAAACAATAATTGCAGTAATATCATGCTCACGATCACGTTTTTGACAGTTTATATTAAGTGTATAATGTCATTGACAAATAATAAAATGTGACAGTTTTTAGTAAATACTGTGGTGTATTCAATTGATAAATACTGGAATGTGACAGTTTACAGTAATACTATGGTGTATTGCATTGGTAAATACTGGAATGTGACAGTTTACAGTAATACTATAGTG